ACAGTGAAAGAAGGTTGTGAAAGAAGAGAGTTACTTACAGAATGGCTGGAGTTGGAGGGACCCCTGGATGCCATCTGGTCCACCCCCTGCTTAAGCAAGGACGCCCATTGCCCAAGAGTGTCCTGGAAACTTTTCTTTAAGGATGGAGACTCTGTAACTAACCTTTCCAGGCAACCTCTGTTAACTGTGTTTCCTGAGGTCCAGGTGGAATAGAAGAATAAGCTTGTTATGGAAAAATTAGCTAATTCTGCTCATGTCTATACAAGCACATACTTAAATACCAAAAAATAGAGGAAACAAAGGATTGAGTGCCTTATCCAGAGAACAAATTCAACTGCACACCCTGATTTCTGTTTCCAGCGTGGAATCACCTTCCTATTGTTAATGTTGACTTAGTTTTTTGTTGTTCTTTGTACTTGAGCACAAAGTAATTTTGGAGTTGCCAATAGAAAGCTTCCTGAAAACTCTTGTCATCTCCAGTCCTCCTGCTCTCAGTGAGCGGTTTTTGCACAACTGGGCCTGGTGTTTGCACATGTCAGACAGTTAGCTGTTGACGTGTGCAGAAGATACAAAAGATTCCCCTGCAGCATCAGTCAGGATCACAGACCCATAGAACGGCTTGAGTCTGAAGGGACCCCCAAAGGCCCTCTGTTCCCACTGCCTGCAGTGCACAGGGACACCCACAGCTCCAGCAGTGCTCACAGCCCCATCCCCTGGCCATGGCTGTGTGCAGGGATGGGGCAGCACCACCTCTGGGCACCCTGTGCAGTGCCTCACCAGGAGGATGTGGGAGCACTCTTCAGAAAGAGTAAAAGTTAAGATGGTGATGATTCTGTGTGGTAGCCTTGTCAAGCAAACAGGTCAGAGCCCACCATTCTATAGTGTAGGCTTTTGAACTCTGAATGTGAAAAAGAACTGGAAGGTGACTGTCATTATGAACTAAGAGTAACTATTTAAATTACTGAAAGTATATCACTGATGCTTTTTTTTTTTTTTTTTGTATTGCTCCTTGCAAAAGAGGAAGAACACTGTGATGCAGTGATGTCATGTATTTTAAACCACTGAAGGGAAATAATCTCAGAAAGTTCTGTGCCTGGCTTCTTTACTGCTTTCTGCTAATTGCACGGAAATTGAATTGGGGAAATACATGTTTGACCTTGGTGTTGTGAAGGTAAAGCAGGCCTCTATTGAGAAGTCATGACAGTCCCTGGTAAAAAGGCTGTGTCACTCATTTTTAGGAAGGGTAGAAAAGACAACCCAGGGAACTACCAGCCTGTCAGCCTCACCTCTGTGCTGGGAAAGATCACAGGACAGATCTTCCTGGAAGCTACGTGAAGGCACACGACTTCTATTCCTCTCTCCCAGCTGGTGTGTCTCTTTCTGATCCAGCTTTTGGCCACTTTGCTCAGAAAAACGTGTTTAGGGAGCGGTCTTTAAAGAGTTGAATAGCCTAATATGAAAAAAGTCACGTGCCTATTATAGACCGGGATCGTTTTAATTGGGACTGGTATTGGCTGCATTATTTTGAGCTGCCCTGATTGCTAGGGAGCAGATTGGATATTTTCAAAGATGTTTTGGCTTTAATTACCCCACAGGTTTGGGGATCACAGGAAGGCGGGGTGTCCCTGCAGCTTAGCCCTGAGGTTTTTGGGGCTGTGGGTGCACGGTGGGCCCCTAATTTGCCCCCCTCCAACCTATAGGAAGGAGAACATGAGATGAGAGAAGCTGCTTTGCTCAGGCCTCAGCCTGCTCGCACTCGTTTGCTTCTCAACAGAGCGCTGTGGTTTTAAAAACGAGTTTTAGGGGAGGAGGAGGAGGAAGGGGGAGCGGCGAGGAGCGGCAGGCTGTGTGGTGTGTTTGTGGCTGCTCTCTGATCTCTTGCCAGCGAAACCTGGAAGGTCAGGCCGGGCTGCCGCCAAGCGGCGGAGCTGGAGCCGCAGAGCGCTGGAGCGGGCGCTGCTGTGCTGCTTCCTGCTTGGGGTGAGCGAGGCGAGTGTGAGGGGTGGGAACCCCTGAAATCTGTGCGCTGTGGGACTGGTCTCATTGCAGAGACCTGCCTTGGTGAAGCCGTGCTGGTTGGCCCCTCTCACCCTGCTCTTCTCCACGTGCCTTAGCGTAGCTTCCAGGAAGATCTGTCCTGTGATCTTTCCCAGCACAGAGGTGAGGCAGATGGGTTGGTAGTTCCCTGGGTTGTTCTTTCTACCCTTCCTAAAAATGAGTGTGACACGACCTTTTTTCCGGTCACCGGGGTCTGCCGTGACTTTTCAAATATCATGACTCAGTGACTGTGTGAGCCATAACTCAGTACTCTGGGACGCATCTCTTTGGGGCCCATAGACTTATGGATGTTCAGTTTCCTCAGGTGGTCGTGAGCCTTACAGTAGGAATGTCATTGCTGTCCCATCTGCCACCTTCTGAACCACCTGACACAGATTGCCCAGCGATGTGATGGATGCCCCATCACTCATCCATCTGGGAGACACCCAAGGTCAGGGAACAGGGCTCTGAGCACCTGATGGAGCTGTGGGTTTCCCTCTTCATTGCAGGGGAGAGGACCAGATGGCCTTTAAAGATCCCATCTGACTCAAACAATTCCAATTTCTATCTTCCACGGTACCAAAAAATCAAAATAATCCTGTGACGTATCATTATTAATTTTCAATGTATTGGCTTGGCACTCAAGCGTTAGTGGAATTAAATAAAACTTACTATGTATAACTTTGTCCCTCCCAACAATTTCAGGTAGAATGATAAAGGAAACCCTCCTGATAGGTAAATACTGCTGTTAAGTAGCCTTATAGAAAACATTTCCAGCTTTATTACTTGGGGTTCTTTCCAGTTGTCTTATACTGCTTAATATTGAGACATGGGAAAGAATGTTATCATCTCCAGCACAAATTTTGAACCCAGTTGGTACTTTTAATTTCTAACGTAGGATGGCTGAGATTGGAGGGGACCTTAAAGATCACCCAGCTCCATCCCTATGGGGCTGGGTGCCCCTGACCCCAGCTCAGGCTGCCCAGGTCCCATCCATGGCCTTGGCCATCTCCAGGGATGGGGCACCCACAACTGGTTTGGACAGCCTGTTCCAGAACCTCACCACCCTCTGAGTAAAAATCCTCTTCCTAACATCTATAACCTCAATCTCCCCTCCCTTTTTAAAAGCTGTTCCCCCTTGTCCTTTCACATCTGATTTTGCAGTATAGAGTAAAAAATACAGATTGCATCTCGTTCACGGGAACTTAATGAGTTGCTGTGCTGTAAACTGCTCATTTGGTGTGTTTGCAAATGAAGAATTTTTCTGAACCGACCTCCAAATCCTTTTTAAGAATATTTGCAGAGATCAAAGTGCCTCGCTTGTTGGCTGACCATTCTGAAAGAACAGCCTAAATACCCTGAACAGCTCTACATATGCTGCGTGTTTGTAAAAGATGCCTCTTAGGGAAACAGGGATGAGTTTTCACCTCAGGGCCACATCTCTTCAGTGGAGAATGTGTACTAAATTCCTTTTAACTTTTCTTCCCCAACAGCTACTAGTGATTAGCCAGGTGTGCTGACTTCAAAGAGGACAAATACCTGCTGCTCTGAGAAAGAGACTCCGTCTGGGTGTTGGTTTCCTTCATGTGCTGTCTGATGGATTTTGTTAGTTTTAAGATAAAAAATGAAATAAATGAAATAGAAGAATAGAAAAAAGAAAACTACCTGAAGATGTTTGAATTCACAGTTTTGTTCTGGCCAGCAGTCATCTTAGTGGGGAAAAAAAAAAAAAAAAGACTTTTTATAGGGTCTGATAGTCACAGGACATGGAAGAATGGCTTTAAACTAAAAGAGGGAAGGATGAGGTTGAATGTTAGGAAGAAATTCTGTACTCAGTGGGTGATGAGACCCTGGCACTGCTGCCCAGAGCTGTGGGTGCCCCATCCCTGAGGGTATTGAAGACTAGGTTGGATGGGGCTCTGGGCAGCCTGAGCCTGGTGGGGGGCACCCAGCCCATGGCAGGGGGTTGGAGCTGGGTCATCTTTAAGGTCCCCTCATTCTGTGTTAAAGCACTAAAGCACTGTGTGGTGTTTCATAATCCACAACTTTTGGGGGCTTCTTTTATATCTCAGGTTCAGGTTTTACCAGTCTCTCTGCAGAGCCGGTGTCCTCTTGTTTAGTTTGTGATGGTGGAGGAATAAATGGAGAAATAATGGTTTGCTGTCTGCATCCAGCAAAGGTAGAAGCAGATTTGAGAAGCTTCTAGCAATGATTGCTCTATGGAGCCATTGAGCATCTCTTGAGTGAAATGTGGAGAGGCATAGTGGCAGAAACAGGTAACGCTCTCTTAACCTAGATGGTTAAAGTACTCTTTTATTTATCCCAGAGGATTTTAGTACATTCTAATTTTTTTTTTCCTACTGTTGGTAACTCCAGCTTTGGATGCTCTTAGTTAAAAGCTTCACATTTAAATAGCGCTGATGCTGAAACATCATATGCAACAGCTCTGACCTCCAGTGGCCAGAAAGAGCAGTGTTCTCTGAGGACCGAAAAAATCAGGCACTTTGTACACAGATCGATACCAAGAGCTTGTTATGGCCAAGGTCACTTACAGATCATAAAGAACTTGGTCTGCCTTTATGTTCTACTCTAGTGAACTTGCATCTCACCCCAAGTCACATGGTACACTGTTTTTGATGGTGCTTCCAAGTAATATGGAAGGGGGAAAAATAAAAATATTGTATTTAAAATCTTTGAAGGGTCTTAATGACAAGTGAATTTATTTTAAAGCTTGTTGAAGAAGGAGTTTCTGTGGGAAAAGGTAGAGATTGCAGAAGCTACAGTGAAGTTTAACTGCATTCCATGTTGGTTCTGTAGCTTTGTGTTTGCGATGACTGTCATTTATTCTAACTCCACAGAATCTAACAATGGGGAATGTGTCCTGAAATGAAGAAAGAGAATAATTTTGGTGGTAACTGTGATGTTTTGGGATAAGTCTGAGGATGCTGTCTTTCCTATTGCAGGCAAAAAGAGCAGTGCAGCGAGGAGCCACAGCGGTCATCTTTGATGTTTCTGAAAACCCGGATGCCATTGATCAGGTATGAAGGAGGGACCTTAGTTTTATTACACCCTCTGTTGGACTCCTTTAGAACTGCGGAGGCAGCAGTGCAGGGTAGGCAGGGCTCTGAGCACAGCAGCCTTAAGACATGCAGACTCTGACTGATGTGATGCTGTGTTTTTCCTGCTGGCAGGCAAGAAGCAATGGAGATGCTGAGAATGATAGAAGGAGAGGAGTGTGGGGAGTTAGATTTTTCTTCTAGCCTTTGCTAGAATCTTGAATCCAATACTGGTACTGCATTTTTGAGAAAGGATAGAGGTAAATATTAGTGGCCTCGAGGCAATGAGGTTTCTGCCCAGCACTACATACAGGGGGCTTGGCCATGCCCAGCTTGTGATCAACAGCATTGTTGAGCAGCTGTTATTTTTGAAATTGCAAAATGGGCTGCAAACTTCAAACAAATTCCTACCAAAAAAAAGTATAACTATTTTTTTTCTTATTCACAGCTGTTGAATTTTGGCCTAAGTATTATGTGGACCAGCAGAATTTTTCTTTTTTTTTTTTTTCCCAGGGATCACTGTGTAAGTTCCATCTTCTCCTTTTAGATGGGTGAGGTAATATTTCTGTGAGAAGCTTTGAGAAGATCCTGCCAGGCAATTTCGAGTTAACTGAGTAGAGAAAATGAGCTTAACAAGCATGAAAATAGTCTATATTTGGTTTAGTTTTCTACTGTCTTAAGAGAGCTACAGCAGAAACAAGTGAAGCGGAATATTTCCAAGTGCAGCCTGAATTTCCTGGGGAAAGAGAGACTATCTGTGTTTACATTTAAAAAGCTGGCTTTAATTGTGAAATGAGCATCTGTTGGACTGAGGAATGTGGACTCTGCAGTAGGTGCTTTGGGAGCTGTGGTCTGCATGTGCATCAAGGCTACAGATTTAATTTTGCAAACATTCTCAGTATTTTTTCAAAAATTATCTCACAAGGGTGTTACCTATCTTGTTTCCAGCCTTTTCTCTGTATTGCAGCTCCCAATTACTCTCAGCCATCCGTCCATCTCTGAACATGCGAAGCTGAGTTGCTGCCTCTTTGTGTCTTCCATCTACCAACAGCTCTCCTTCTTTGACTGTTGCTAATTAACTGGGTGCAGCTAGCTACAGTAATTGGAAAATTAGTTGATTATTGAGTATTTGCATGAACAAATCAAATGGAAAGAGGTTAGAGCAGCAGCTGGCATTGTAGGCTTTATTACAGGACAGAGCAGCAGCTTATGCAATCGCTCACAACCAGAAGATGAATGACAATACCTAGTTTCACATACACTAACCATAAGTGGTACTTGATTGACTGCCTTCTCATGCAGTTCTGGACATTTGTGTGTTGTGCATTTTGATTCTCAGCCAGACGACTTAGGTTTGTAGTAGAGAAGAACAATTGGTGCTTGAATCGGTTCCGCTTTCACGTTCATTTACTCTTCTCCTCTTCTGGAGAATGGAAAGAAGTACTTGTGCTGAAATGTGCCTCCTGAGCAGATTTGTTGTTGTTGTTCTAGCTGAACCAGGGCTTAGAAGACCCTCTGAAGAGACCAGTGGTGTATGTGAAGGGTGCTGATGCTGTCAAGCTGATGAACATAGTTAACAAGCAGAAAGTGGCACGAGCGAGGATTCAGCATCGCCCCCCACGGGTGAGACTTTAAGAAACTCTATCTAAACATTGCACTGCTGTTACTTCGTGCAGTGCTTGCTAACTGCTGAGTGCAAAGATGTTTTGATGCTCTCCATAAGAATTAACAGATGAGAAATTCTGTTGACCTAAATAAACTGAGGAACTTTACTGTGGACAAGTGGCTATGTTTGATTTAAGTGTAGAATCTACAATGTGGGACCTGATGTCTTCCATATATATTCTTTAAAATTTCTAAATGGCTAACAATTTTACATAATAGAGGCTTTCCTTTTTCTTAGTTGTATAGCACAGGTACTGCATGCACCTAGCAGTTCAGATTTGTAAGATAGCCTGCTTGGGTGGTATTTTAAATGTGGGTTAGTTATTTTATATCTGATATTTGTAGTTTTAATATAAAATGTTATTCTTGAGATTTTTTTTTTTTTGTAGCAACTCGTTACATGTAGCTTATATAAGAAGAACAAAACTAGAGGTCAGCAATGACCCAGTTACCACTTTGGTTTTGTTGTATTTTTAAGGAATACTTCTGATAAGAAAAGTGAGAAGTGCACCATTTGCTGAAGACGTAAATACTCATTTTTGCTTGTTTAGATATGCAAGAAAACCAATAATGCATGAAAATTTGTACTAGTATGATTCAATTTTTAAAAAAAAATCTGTTTTCATGTAGAATTAGCCCAGAGCTGCTGTGAACCTGACGGCTCATGGTTGGCACTGTGTATTTTATTCACTTGCAGTAACACATGTACCTCAGGTTTGTCCCATAGAATCGTCGTTAATGAGCAGAGTGCATTGACTTAACATTTTCTGTGTATGTATGTGACAGTGACCACTGAGAAAGTAGAAAAGAGAAAGGAACAGTAGATTTTACTCTGATAGAAAGATAGGAAAAATAATAATGTTGTTCTAATTTTAAAGCAACCTACTGAGTACTTTGATATGGGAATTTTCCTGGCCTTCTTTGTGGTTGTGTCTCTTGTTTGCCTCATTCTTCTTGTCAAGATCAAACTGAAACAACGACGCAGTCAGGTAAGAGCAGTAATGGTTTATTTATCGAATGCTGAAAGTTAGTTTCTTTTACTTGTCCTAGAACTTAAAGCCTTTAGGAATACAGTATGCTGACTTAGAATAGCCAGTTTTGGGGAAAGGTTTTTATCCATGGGTGTAGACCTTTGAATGGATGTGGCAGTGTCTTTAAAGGAGATCTACATTGACCTTTGATGTCCCTTCAGTTAAATTCAGACACTGAGTACTGAATGAACCATTTAGCCCTTGGGAAGGAAGAGTATTTCTGTTTGTTCAGAGGTTGAGTATCAGTAACACTGTTGTACTCCAAAAGAAGTCCAAATGTTCAATAATGTGTTGTGGAGAGTTTATAATGACTTAGAAGAAATCACAACTCTTTTTCAGTAGAGTAATATCCTTTAATTCTTAGTTGGAGAAGGTTGTGAGGTAGAAAATATTGATATGTGGTCATTCTAGATGAGGTAATTTTTCCTATCAGGCACGAAAGAGAAAGCAAATAGAAGTTAATGGACCTTGCAGTTTGAATTTGTAAACTGTTCACTGTGTGGCTATACATGTATAAGGAATGCAAAGCACTGTGCGTTAGTTTGAGCCTGCTGAGATTTGAAAGGTACATTAATTTGATGTGGTGGTGTTTTCTCTGCTACTACACTACAGTCCCTTATGCAGCAGTGTTGCCTTTTTTTCTTCTTTTTGTGTTCTAGAATTCCATGAACAGGCTTGCAGTGCAAGCACTGGAAAAAATGGAGACCAGGAAGTTTAAGTCTAAAAGCAAGGGACACCGGGAAGGTAGCTGTGGTGCTCTGGATACACTCAGTAGCAGCTCTACCTCTGACTGTGCCATCTGCTTGGAGAAGTACATTGATGGGGAGGTAAAGGATAGAAAGTTTCTTCAACATAGGCTGAGAATGTAGCTGATTTACTTTAGCCCTGTGACATCCAGCTAGCTGTTGGATGCATAAAGTATTGAGGTTGTGCCATTTGCTGGACAGATTGCATTGAGCAGCCAGCTCAGCCTCAACTGCGTTGTGCAGTGACCAATGTAAATCTCAAGAGCTTTTCACCACACTGCAAAGTGAGAGCTGAGGGGGTTTCACTTTGTAGGTTGATCCCTCCCTCAGGTTGCACTGAGGGAGACCAGAGAAGGGAGGGAGCTCCACAAGGTTCAGGATCCAGTTTTAGCCTCCTGTTTACCATCTCTGTGTTGATGTCAGTGATTGCCTTCTCTGACATAGTTCTACTCAGAGGAAGCAATGGAAGGATGAAGTAGAAAATAGGCCCATTAAAACAGCAACAATCAATAATCAAAGCTTTAAACTTCCATATAAAAAATGAAGACGTTGTTAAATGGACTCCATTGATCTTTATTTATGTACATTTCATGTGTTGGAGATTACTTTGATACTTTAGTATGGGTTCCCCCAGCGTGTTAAGACACAGGACACACAGTAAAAAGCACCCTTAAAAATGCTGGCTAAAAATGCAGTGAAGTTCTAACATGACTGTAGACCACTTTTTCAGAGGGTTTATCCCTAACCACTGTGCTTTTGGTTGAATGTGGTGGTGGTTTTTTTTTCCTTAGTGCTTCTAGAGCAGGAATTCAGCTACGTTAAAAAAAAGAGCTAGGAATAAGATGTGAGGATTGACTCATTAGGCATCAGTACTTTTTATGTCCCTTCATGTGTTCCTTTAGGAGCTGCGTGTCATTCCCTGCACTCACCGATTTCACAAGAAATGTGTGGATCCTTGGTTACTGCAGCATCACACCTGTCCTCACTGCCGCCATAACATCATTGGTATGTCCTGCAAATGAGGTGGGGATGCTCAGCTGTTTCATGTATTTTGGACTTCAGGCTTCACAGTATGAAACAGAAGTTATGCCTGGAGATAAATCTCTGTAAAGCCCATCGTTTTATTGTAATGCAACCCTAGAAATGCAGTTGTTTAAAAATGACTGCATACCCTGGAATAACAAGTCACATTTCTCTTTTTCCCTTGTTCTGGGCGCAGTGCTCAGCAGAGAGCAGCACTGGTCAGCCTTTGAACACAGTGAGGACAAATAAATTTAATAGAATTATTAAATAATAATTTAATTTTTTTGTAAGTTTGAAAAAGTCTTCCATTACTACTGGTTTATGTAAAGTAATGTGCAAAGCAAAAACAACAGCAGTGACTGCCAGCTTCGCTCTTAACCGGCAAGACTATACTTCTACTTCTTCAATCCTTATTTCTCTCCTTCAGAACAGAAGAAGGGAAACACAGGCCCAGTCTGCCTGGAATCCATCAACTCAGCACGCAGCCGGCAGCAGAGGGTGATTCTGCCTGTCCATTACCCAGGCCGAGTGCACAGAGCAAACCAGATAACAGCATATCCTACACGGACAAGCATGGACCCTCATGGAAATCCCATCACAGTACTTACAGTTGAGCGACATGGTGAACAGAGCCTCTACCAAGCCCAATCTGCGGCCTATATCCGAAGTTATCAGCCTATTCATTTAGACCACGCTTTAAACACACACCACTGTAGCCTGGAACACAGGGCTTATTCTCCAGCTCACAACTTCCGACGACCCAAGTTTGGAGGACGAAACTTTTCTAAAGCAGCGTGCTTTTCCCAATATGAGACCATGTATCAGCACTACTACTTCCAAGGCCTTAGTTACCCTGAGCAAGATGGACAGCCTTCAACTGGCATTTCCTCAAAGGGTCCTTCCCGTGCCTTTCAGCCTGGTAGCAGTGTGCTTTTCCCTCCTGTGGTACACGTAGTGCCCTCATCTCGCTTGGAGAGTGGCAGTACCTCCAGCTTTAGCTGCTATCATGGTCATCGTTCAGTGTGCAGTGGATATTTAGCTGACTGCCCTGGAAGTGACAGCAGCAGCAGCAGTTCTGGTCAGTGCCACTGCTCCTCTAGCGATTCCATGGTTGACTGCACCGAGGTCAGCAACCAAGGTGTTTATGGGAGTTGCTCCACCTTCCGCAGCTCTTTGAGCAGTGACTATGACCCGTACATCTACCGCAGTAAAAGCCCTTGCCGAGTGGGTGAGGCTGGTGGTACAAACAAGGGTGCAATTGTTCTCTTGGAGGACCCCCATCAGGATGAGCTTCCAGCTCACGGTCTGAGTCTGGTGAGTGCTGACTGCCGGCCTGTGCCAGCTTCTTCCTCAGGGGACCAACTGTCTAATTGCAGCATGGATATGAACTATAGCAGTAATTCCTCACTAGAGCACAGGGATCCAAATGGCACTACCTCAGAGGGAGGACCTGAGGCCACTCCTGGTGCTGCCTTGGATGTTAAAATGAACTGGAAGAATCCAGAGATAACGGGGCCGCTTATGGAGCAAGCATGCGCGTGCTGCTTTGAACTCCAGCACTCTGCCCTGGAGCCTAGAAATGGGACAGCTGACTGCAGTGCACTCTTCCTCAGTTCTCCGCTGTGGGGGGCATGTGGCCCAGGGTTAGAACCACAGTCAGGGAGCACCCAGGGCTTGTACAGTATTAAATCAGACCACTTGCATAGGACAGATAGGGTAAAATACGAAGGGTTGCCATGCTGCTTCTATGAAGAGAAGCAGGTAGCCTGTAGTAGCAACAGTGGCAGTGGAGGTGGTGGCTGCTATACAGAAGACTATGCAGTGAATGTGCAGTACACGCTTCCTGATGACACCTTGCCAAGCTGTTATAAGGGTGTACATGATCTGGGTCAACGCATTCCCATCATTCCTGAAGACAGAGACTGTGAGCTAATTCTACCTACAGAGTGCCAAGGGACCCACACAGGTGGCTGTAGTTCCTGGGATGGAACATCTGAGCTAGATACTTACCTGCACTGCCAAGGTATAGGAGAGGTACAGGACGAGAGGGAGGTGTGCTATGAGGCAACATCTTTCCTACGTCAAAACTGCTCTCAGGAAGAGGAAACCAGAATGCTCTTTCCTAGTTCCACTCCGCACTCCCAGAAGTTGACAGCGACCACGCAAGTCACAGGTAATCAGTTTGCTTCTCGTGGTTACTCCCTTCCTTTCAGTTGTAGCATATGAAATGCAAGATCCCAGTTTATGGGATACATTCCCAGGTATGTGCAGCCTTAATGGTTACTGCAATCTTTTGCATAGGAGCAGGTGATCAGTTAATCCTCCCCCCAACAGTGTTATTCTCTTGTTACCTATGCTCATTTGGCCTTAGCTAGAGGGATAGAAGATGGTAGTTAAGAGCTTTCATTCTCATACTCTGTGGGGACTGCTAGTACTAAGTCCCTAAAGCCAGGAACGTTGTGCTGGTCTGGGAGCTTTGACATGTTTGAATGGATAACACCAGAGTAGGCAAGGCCAGAGTGCTGGGAGGGGACTGACAAGATGAAGCTGAAAAATAAGAGTGGAAAACTTGGAACTGGAGAATATATGAGAAAATCTCTGCCATTGACTTGCACAAGGGGAAAAAAGAACCACTCATGAAACAAAGGGAGTTCTTCCTTACCTGCCTTGCCTAAATGAGTTTATCAACTCATTAACACTTATTAACAGAAACATCCTAGGCTGGAAGGGTCCTTGAGGCATTATCTAGTCCAACTCCCTGCTCAAAGCTCTGAGATGACACCACATTGTTCAGTTGCTCAGACTAGACTCATTTTATCCAGTCAGATTTTGACAATTTTCTTGACAAACCTCCAAAGTACATAGACTGCACAACCTCTCTGTTCCCTGTTCCAGTGGCTAACTGTTCTCTTTTTATATCAAGTCTGAACATTTCATGTCTCAGTGAAAGCCTGTTACCTTTTGTCCTCCATGAATCACTGTGAAGACCTCAGTTCAATTTTAATGACAATCATAGCATAGTAACTGCAAACAAGCCCTGCTTCCTCACCCTATTGTCACAGGGCAAGTGCTCTAGCCCTCAGAGCACCTTGGTTCTGTGCTGAACTTGCTCTAGTCGACCACAGTGTTACTTGTACTGGTGGGACCCAAACTGGACCCAGTAGTAAAGTAGTAAAGTTCTTTAGTTTTAACCAGAAATTTTCTCTTTATCGTTCAGGTGCTGGATCTCATCCCTTGGAGAGAAGCCAGACTGGTGACTAGACTTGTCCAGATGACACCAGGTGGAGAAGTGGAGCTTATCACAGACTCCAAATTCACACGGACTTCAATTTGTTAAGCTTTGACAAACACACAAAAGTGGTAATGTGGAGAAGTCCCTCCCCCACTTCCTCTATGTCCACATCAGCTTGATTATCCTCTTTCTCCCTTTTGCCTGAAGCCTTCAGGCCTCCATTGGTGTGCAAAGCCCACGTGGGACATGGTGTGGAGCATTCTGAGCTCTAATGCCGTTTCTATATTAATGACAAAATGTTATTTATATTTTCTTTTTAGAAGTGACCGTGTCAGCTCTTGCTGAGAGGTAACACGGTGTGTTAAATAAGCCAGGCTATGTGTAGACGCTGTTACTTCCTACTTAAAGGAGTCCAGCCTTTGATAAGCTCAGGGCTACACCTGCCTTAGAAACCAGATAGCACCTTGAAATAAAGTAGTCCAGAGGGATACAGCTGCTGAATGGATGTTCAGATATCAATTAATCCTAGTAGCAAATCCTAGTAGCCAGCAAGTTATACGCGTGATTTTGAGAGAGGTGAAGGATTAGACTGTCTCCTTCTTCCTCTCCCCTCCCCGCCTTTTATGCTGCTCCGATGATTTGGCTGGGAAGATTCTCCAGCCATCATGATTAGTTTTAACAGATTGGGGGTAGGAATACTGTTAGCTCGGGTTGTTCATATTCCCATTTCCTGCTAAAACATGGACCTCATTGTATCTTCTGACTGGTGAAGAATGTTGGGGGGGGGGGAGGACCCTTCCCTCAAACAGGTGGTAGAAGAAAGTGTTTAGAAAGGGTGAAACCTTTGTAGATAGTGAATCTTGGCTTCCATAGGAAGTTTTACAGGCACTTGTGGCCCCCCTCATGGCTGTGGGAAATGCTGGCATATGCAGGACGATAGGGTTTGCAGGGGGCTTGTCGCTTGCCTGGCTCATGTTGGAAATAGGTCAGAATCTGTCTTGTTCCCTTATAGCCTGCAAGCATGCCTAAGGGGAAGCAGTGCTTGTCACCCATTGCACATGTGGGAAAATGAGGACTTGGTTCAGTCATTGTTTCCTCTGTTGCTCTGGTTGATGTAAGCTTCCATAGATCGATCTGTTTTAAAGGTTTCTTGGGCCCAGCCAGTTGTGCTTCATTTTCGTCTTGCGTACAGAGAGTTCTCTGTACTCCATTAGCCTGGGCACATACTTTTGTTCTTGTTCTTGTACTGGTGGGGACATTTGTTATCATGGGATAACGTCTGTCGTCACTTCTGATAGCAATTGTTTCCTGTGGAAACAGCGGCTTCTGAGTAAGAGGCTACCATAGCATGGTTTAATTGCCTGTCATGCTGCATGTGCCTGAGGACACAGTGTCATCCTGTCTGCTATATTCACAGCAGGAATTCTCCTAAAGGGAAACTATTTTGTTAACGCCCACACTGCCAGCCTTCTGCAAAGATTGGTCTGAAGTTATGTTATCAACCATGGTGTCCTTGACAGCACTGGGCTGATTGTGAGTACCAGAAAAGGTAACTTCTTTTCTGTATAGTCCCAAAGGAAATACTTTATAAAATGCAAACAGCCAAGAAACAACAAATTAGGTTGGTTTGTTTACTTTTCCTTTCTGTACTCGATAAATTAGGAAGAAACAATTCTGTTGGAAGGAGATCCCATTAGATCTAAGTAAACAAACGCCCCAATCCAGCTGTTCAGAGAACTGACACAAGCCAATACTTGGGTAGAAAACTGAAACAGAATTTACAGTAAACATATTTCCTGTGTATAAAGTTTATTGAAAACTTATTCATTCTCTGAATGACTGTAGTAAGTGGTATGTGTTAGGAGAAGCAACTCTACGAGGCTTTTTTTTAAAAGTCTTACCTTTCTCCTTCCTCCACTCAAACAAAAAGCATTGCACACATCATGGGATGCCACCTGCATTACCTTGTTTGGTGTTTCACGAGGCGCTGTGAGGCCACCTGAGATGCACTGTGCTCCATAACTGCACGGCGCCTTGTGGCAAAGCACGGTTCTACAAAAGGTATTTGAATGTTCTGGCTCACGGTGTTCCTCCTTCACATGTTGTGGGGGTCTCTGCCAGCACCACAGTCCCTGCAGGCCTTACAGAAATACCCTGTGCTTGGTTTCTGTGTTTGGCTTTATAGACAACGGGTAGTTCATCCTCAGTATGTCTGTACACTTATAGGCCAGCTGCAGTGATAGGTGGTTTTTTATAACAAAATACCTTTCTACTACTTCCATGAACAGTTGTCATTGTGTTTGGCTCATGAGGCACTATTTAAAATGTTTGTTGTTTTTTTTTTTTTTAAATGATCTTATAGCACTTAAAATTGTTTTGTATAAAATTTGCTGTAAAGATTTGTAATATGGTCAAAGGGCTCTTTCTCCTTCATTACCATTTTTTAAAATGTTTTAAAAGCTAGAAAGCATCCTGTATATATTCTGTATATGTATAGCAGCACATTTCATTTATGGAAATATGTTCTCAGAATATTTATTTACTAATATATTTATCTTAAGCCATGTTTTATGTTGAGAGTGTGTGACATTATTGTAATAATCATTGAAAATCACTAACACGAGGCCCTGTAAATACATGATAATTGCACACAAAGATTTTACAGTACTTGCCGACCAAAAATGATTTAAGAAAAGTTGTAGTTACCTGCAGTTTTGTAAGAAAGTGTACAAATGTCTGTATTAAAAAAAAAAAGGCAAAACCACGCAAAAATACAGTTTTATTGCATACATGTGTGGAAGTCGTCCTTATTTGTAGGGAAAGGACACAGCTGTGCTTCTTCAAGTGCAGTCCTACATGAACTGCTTTAAACAGCAACGCTTCTCAGTTGTTAAATAACAGGTAAACACATCTATGCATACACACACATACAGATACAACAATGTCTGTGATTAAAAAATGCAAAGTTTTGTGGTTTTTTCTTTTTTCCCCCTTTGGAGACAACCCATAATATTCTGTCCCAGGACCATTCGACTTTCAGGTAAGTGCCACGCTGGAGTACACAAAATAAATCAGTTTTTTACTGGGTATTATGCTCAGTGTGAGGCCACTGCTTGATTTTAGCTCCTTCCTAATTGTGGCTCCAGCAGTCTCAGTGCCTGTTTGGTGTCCCTGCTCCCAGCTGGCAGGTCTTGCTGTTAAGGAGGAGGAAGTTAGATGCTAAAGGTTACAAAGGAAGGGAGGGCAAAGGTGTAGAGACAGAAGAAAGAGAGGAGGATTGAGACCGCAGTGCACCAAAGCGTGCTGTAGAAAAGATGGGGTTAAGTGCTCTGCTGTGGGAAATGGGGAAGGAGGTGCAATGAAGCTTGATGCTTCAGGGTGGTAGTCCATAACTACCAGCACAGTTCTTGGACTTCTGTGTAGAATGAAGGCTGTGTGAGAGGGTCACACAAGTCTCTGAAGCCTCAAATCGCATGGCAGCTGGCACACACCTGCTGGAAGGCATCCTCGTTTCTGTTTGGAACCTGCATGTTTCCTGTAGCAAGGGAACTTATTTGTGGCTTAATTTCAGACAAACATAATCTATTGTCCTGAACTAAGACTGCTTTGAGGCCTGAGCCATCACGGTGCAAATGGATGCAACAAAAGGAGAAGTTATGTTGAACAGATAAGCTGCAGCCAAGTCCCTACCCCAGATCATGAAATCACTGGTTCCACTGCAGCTAAAATCAGCGTTGTGCTGCTCTCATCGTGTCGACAGAGGGCATAATGTGATCAAAGACATTTATTAACACATAGAAGAAAATGGCTTGGATGTGATCACTGGTGGATGCTGATCTCCATGCATGCACGTACACATGTAGGACACGTATATATGCTATTGTTGAAATAGTTTGCCTCTATATGCCATGTGTTCTCCATGCAGTGACACAAAAAAATTCCATTCTCCTTTGGTTGCTTCCATCTCACCAAGGTTTCCACCTGGTAACCCTTTGGATTGGGGTTCTTCCCCCTCTCATCTAGGCCTGTTCCAGTAACTCAGTCATCTCAGAATTCAGCCAGGAGAAGAGCATCACTTCTTAATGAGATTGTATCCAATGCTAATGCTTGGTGTTTCTGAGCAAGGTCTCATTTTGGCAGCAGCAATTTGGAGGTGTGTCTGCTGAATTCTAAGACAGACAGTTGGTAGTATTGGCTGTTTATGTTTTGCACAGTTGTTTGTGCAGAACACAGTGCTCGGTTTTGGTGGGTTCCTCGTGTGGTGAAGGTGTCTTTTGAAGCTGGCTGTGTTCTTACAGCTGGAGCCAGCCTGCCCAGGTCTTTGTCTGGGATACAATAGAGCCCGAAACCAGATCTTTGATGGGAAAGGGAAGCCCTGCGCTTCTGCATGATATGAAAGGATCTCATTCAGAGTAAAGAATACATTTCTCTCATGGGAATGAAGCCGTTGCTTAGAAAAAAATAAAAAATAAGGCATATGTTTCCAGAATAAACAAGTTTAAAAGGAGTCTCGTAGACTGGATGGCAAGAAAGGAGAGCACAGTAATCCCCTCTTGTGTAAGAAGAGACCCGTGCCTGTGTGACAGTGGTGTTCCTAACAGAAAATGAGAGTTTTCTTGGGCTTCTCCCTCTGCTATGCAATGCTTCTACGCTTCAGCAACACAAACTGTGCTCCTCCCGCAGCAATTTACTGTATTTAATTTTTTATAATTGTTACTTACAGCCATTTGCCGAATGCGGGATGACCACATATAGACACAGCACATATTTCAGCGGTGAGTCAAGCAGGATTTGTTCTTTTCTTGTCAGTCTGATTTATTTCATGGGATATCCCCTGGATTTACAGTAAATTGTCTTTCAGACTGAATTTTGGAATGCAAAATTTCATCCTAAAAAAGCACAAGCACTCGGTAAAGCTGAGAGCTGCATTACATGTATGTACTGGGGGAGGTGCTGTAGGAATTGGGCTCCACTTTTCACTCAAGTTAGCAGAATGATAAGTTTACTCAAAAATGTCTAGGATAATATTCAGGTGAAACTCATTACAGTGTATTTCATCAGAGGATTGTGCAATACGTTTCTGTAAGCTATTAAGAACTAGTTGGGCTGGTCGGATTGGGTATTTGTTGGGAGTTATGGTTTTGCAGTAGACCCTTCCATTTGGTAAAACGGTGCACTAGGAAATCTTCAGCAGTCTTTTGCAATGGCTGTGAAGGCTCAGTGAGCAGGAGGTGAAACTGGAACAGCTTGTCATGCTCCCAATGGCAGCCAATGCCTGCTGGTGTGTTGGCCTGGATGCATTCAGGATGCTGCTTCATTTTCCAGTAAAAATCTCACATTTATACCATCTCCAGGGGATCCTGGACTACAGAAATCATAGTTCTGCAGTGCTGTTGGGTTGTCTGGGTAAGCAGCATTATAAAGCCCCAAGTCAGATGATGTTAATGTTTTTAAATGAATAAATAGATGAAGATGTTGGATGTTAGGATGGTCCCAAGAGTATATGCACATGAATTAGCAGAAGTGGATGAACAACCAAATAAAATTACAAGCTAGACACGAGATTCAAAGGAAGAAAGGGCGCTTGAAGCAACTGTTTCATTGCTGCTACCAAACTGAGAGGCTGAGTTACTCTTCTTAGTGCCCTTCTGTCCTATGCACCAATAAATTCTAGTTTTTTTTTCCCATGATTACAATGTATTGAAAATTTATTTTTCTCAGAGTGTAAACTAACATCTTCCTATGAAATGTTAGCAAGATACAAGCATAATATCCTGTATTAAATAATTTCCTATACATATATAAATATATTACTATGACATCACATTTTTTTTTTTTTTTTAAATTATAGTCTCTATTTTCTCTCCAACTTAACAAATATTAAGACGAAAGTACATACAAAATCATTTAGTCAACAAACTATTATTAAAAGTAGATTTGGAATTGGGAAGGCCACTTCTCCTGCTGGCCACCAGCAGAGCTCCACGTATTCTGTGGACTTCTGTAACCAACGTGCTGCATAGAATGGCTGAGGTTGGAGGGGACCTTAGAGATCATCGAGCTCCAACCCCCTGCCGTGGGCTGGCTGCCCCCCACCACATCAGGATGCCCAGGGCCCCACCCCAGCACTGCCTCCATGCACCCACAACTTCTTGCACACAGTTAGGAGGCAGCTTCATAAAATGCAATGCTGGGGTATTAGCACAGTGCTCACTGCTCCTGTTCCTGGTGCACCCTTTGTCCTATGGCTTCTTCTCCATACAGCCGTGGTAGCAGCCAAGAGAGCAAACCACATTTTGGGGTGCATTAAACAGCACAGCCAGCCTGTCAAAAGAGCTGATTCTCCTGCTGTTTAGCTGTAGTATGGCCTCACCTTGGATACTGTATATGGTTCTGGTCTCTGCAACATAAAAATGATGTTAAGGTCCTTGGAAGTATCTGGGGGAAGGCAATGGTAGCTGGTGTCCCGTGCTTGTTAGTGCTCAAGAAGCACTCAACAACATGCTCTAACTATTGGTCTGCCACAAAGACTCGATGATGTTTGGCAGGTTCCTTCCAACTGAGCTATTTTATTCTCCTGTTCCCTTTTTCCATTTGATCATTCCATCCTATCCTACCCCACACTATGCTATCCCATCCTATCCAACTCTACCCTAACCTCAGGAAGAAAAAGCGATGGTAATTTTAACCACGTAGCCAACCATAGCAGCACAACACAGCGAGGAAGGCACCAGGACAGGGGCTGGAATGTGTGTGAGAGGTGGTTCCTTGTGATGGTTTTGTTGGCAAAGCATTTGAAGCTGTGACCCATGTCATATTTGCAGCCTGTCCAACTGAGGGAACTGCTGGGTAAGAGCTCAAAAGGCCGTTCAGGTAAAGGTCCAAACAAATTCCTGTTCTGCAGTCATTTTCTGTTTGTCGAAGTCAATGCTGCAAACGCTAACGTGGTATTCAGGGCAGCTGTCAGCTGCTGGTGTCACAGAGGCGTTTCTGTGTGCTGAATCGTGTGGGATTACAACAGTTGTGCATGTCAGGCTTTTCTTCTTCTCCTAAACCCTTATAGCAAACGTGATAAAGTGCCATTTACATGTGTGCCATTTACATGTGTGCCATTTACATGTGTGCCATTTACATGTGTGCCATTTACGTGTGTGCCATTTACATGTGTGCCATTTACGTTGGCCACGTACAACTGTACCACTGAAGCGTGAAGAGATGTAAAAATTATTTTGTCCTTACTTTTGCAGTAGGTAGAAATCAGCCCCTGGGTATTCTTTCAAGTTATTGGCATTAATTACGTGCTATATGAATTTTCTTTTGACTGCATAGGTTAGACTGCTGAAGGATTTTTGGTAAGAAAAGAAGGCAAAGCTTCCTCACGCTGTGCTCACAGCGTAACTCTTTGGGATGTGATTTTATTCTCTGACTCTCTCTGCATTTTCCATTAGTGAACCAGACTAAGCACGGATAGAAAGCAAACTGTTTTGCTACAGGTCTCTGTAAACACTGACTGGTAAGAAGGCATTTTTCGATGTCTTAAGTCTGAAAGAGTCAATGCTTTTTAGTCCAACATGTAAGAGAGAACCAACATACTTTACAATTCTTGCTGTCTTAATCATTGGCAATACTGTGATTAACTTTTCCTGTAACCTTTCCAACAGCTTATGCAAGAAATTACTAGCTGCTTCCATGATATTCCACTTTTGATATAAACAATTCCATAACTGCTGGCTTAGTGAAGTTCTGTTTCTGTTAAGCACTTATTGTGCAATTGTTCAGCTGTCTCTGGCACTCATCTGGGCTACATAAATGGAGCTGGAATTAATTCAGTTCAGGCAAAGTCTAGATCTGTGTAGGTTGCTCTGAAAGTAATGCCTCCTATTTATTTCTATACAAACTACAATAGATACAAAGAGCACAATAGCACTATTTGACAGAGGAAATTCTCAGCTATAAAGCACTATTTTTCAACATAGTCACCGCTATTACCTATGCATTCTCACCAGTGATGAGCAAGAGCCTGCATGCTGTGCACATAAAAGCCTGCACCAGCAGAAGTGACCCATTGTTGCTGTGCTGAAACTCACCACCCACCCCTCCCTGTGCTCACATCCACTGCTGGATCTCCAGAAACGTTCAGCAAGCATCTACGAATGTCAATGGGGGCCATTTTTTTTCTGCATGGAAGAATTCATTGAGACATCTTTGCTTTATACACACTTCCACATCAGATGCCGTCCTGTCAGAGTTGCCCCCCTGCTGCCATCTGTCACACAGCGATGGAACGGGATATTGGTGGGAGGTTTCAACCTCTACTGCTGTAGCACCACCACCACCAGCAGCCACGAGTTGCGCCGACGCCACGAAACAGGAGGCATTACTTTCGGAGCAGCAAGGCACGGTGTGGCGCCGTTTGATTTTTAAACGCCCCATTTCTTACAATGAAATCGACGGTCCTCACGAAGGGAGAAGCTTTCCACGTTGATAACAGAAGGGCAAATCCTGAATGTAAACTCTGGGCTGGTTTTCTCTCTTGTCTCCGTTACCTTTGGCAAACACCCTGAGCATGTCTGCGTGCTCACGTGTCTGCTGTCTTACTGAGCAGCAGTACATTGAAACTCATATTTACACCCTCTGTCCTGACCAGATTTACAGAACTTCAATGGCTCTCACTGCATTCACTCCGCCACAGCTGAAGGAGCTGCTCATGAATGCCAACTGTTCCCAACAACTTATCTGACCTGTGCTGTCATTATTTTCTTAATTATCTCACAGGGCTGGACTTGCTGAGGCTGACACACTCGCTGCTGATCCCCAGTGGTGGGATGAGAAGTCAGCACTGTAGGTGAACAGATCTTCTACCAAAGAGAAAAAATAGTTAATGCTGTCTGTTGCAAAGAGAAATTATTCCGCAGATCAAATCCCCGCTGATGTTTCAGTTCTTTGGCAATTAGGGGCATTAGTCTTCAAAATGTAGCTCTGCTTTAATTTCATGAGCAGGGGAATGCTTTCTTCTCGCAGTAATTGACAGCACTGCAGATTTGATGAGCTCCAGATATTTGAAAATTATTGCATCACTTAAATCCATTGCCACCAGTATACAAAAGAGAACAGCAGACAGACAAAGTCACACAGAGGACTTTGGGAATTGACTTTTGGGAAGACAAGTATGAGAGCGGGAGGAAAAAAAAAAAAAAAGGTTATTCCCAAATCACCTGGATTTTAAGAAGGTCGGTTCCTGTAAAATAAAAGACACTTCAGTTTCCCACCAGTGGATTGCAATCATCTTGTTGGCTTCGCAGCTGTTTCTTGAAGATGGATATTGATGTGGATGGCCGATAGAATATACTCCAGATCTCTCCAGCAGCAGTAACCTCACTGGAATCCTCTATTTCATTTGCAGGTGGGATCTGATGGGATCTAGGAAACAAGCATTACCTCCTGATCAGTGCTAAGGTACAAGGGAAGCTGCTATTCTTACTGTGTTAACGTTATTTTTGTACTGGTAATGCTGACAAGTTCCACTAGACGTATGACACTTATTTTCCCCCAGCATATTGCACAGCTGTACCAGGATTTGAAGTGTTGGCAGGTTAGTTTTTGACCAAACGATGGTGTAGAAAGATAGTAATAAAATCAGCTTTTTAATCGGGTAAAAAGTTACACTGTGTGTTATGCCAGAATACAAAGTCCTCCATTTGTGGGGTTTTTGGAATCATTTTCAATATTTAATTAAAAGAAAGTCAATATTAATTAGGGCGGCGAGGCACAGCTCACACAGAGGGGTGGTGCTGCCCCATCCCTGCACACAGCCATGACCAGGGCATGGGGCTGTGAGCACTGCTGGAGCTGTGGGTGTCCCTGTGCACTGCAGGCAATGGGAACAGACGGCCTTTGGGGGTCCCTTCCAACCCAAACCATTCTATGGTTCTATGTATACACACACATTATGTATATATTGTACAGAGGTACTTCGTATACTCCTGAGGATATAAATATGGATCACACAACTTGATTTTGAATCTGACCAATATGAAGGCATCAGGAGGCAGAGAAATGAAGTGTACCACGAGGGAGGACGGAGCTGATTGTCAGTTCACCAGGGACAGCTCTGCTCTGTACTTACTTCATGGCGACGTGGAGAAATACCTTGGCCAGTATGGCTGTAACGCTTAGGATGAGCAGTGCTGTGAGACTGTATATTGTCCACTCTGGAAAAGAAAAAAGGAAGAGGAAAGGAGGAGATGGAAAAGGAAACAGGAAAGAAAGAGAGAAGAATGAAAAAATTAAAAAAAAAAAGGAATGGGGAAAAAGGGAAAAAGAAAAGGGAAGAGAGTTATTTCCAATTCAAATGTAAAGATGCCCGTTCCAGACACAGAGCACACCTCAGTGGCACCTCCCCCACTCATTCACCTGCTCCATCTGTGACTACAACCCTCTTTGTAGAACTGCAGCAGCTTTGTGCATTGGGATATCTGAGCTGCATGCAGTATCCAAACTAATTCGAGACTCTATCAATGCATGCTCTTTTTTTTTTTTTTCCAGCACCTTTTGCCACCTCCATGGTCACTGAAGTGCTCTGACTTCCTATTTGATTTCACTACTTCTACAAAGTAAGTAACAAAGCAAACGAATGAATCTCATCCTAACTGGAGATGACATTACCAGGCATGGAGCTGCTGGGATGGCTCGGACTGGTCGTGATGACATAAAGTATCTTTGATGATCGAGCTGCGTTGATGCTGAAATTTGTGTGTTCATTTCTCTTCTCTGAAAGGCTCTGATTGGCTGCAATCTTGTTTTGATGCACGTTGTCCTTCACAGCTGAAAACACAACAGTGTGATTCAACATCAACAACTTCTACACCAATTAATTGGGCTTTACTTTGTACTTTACAGCGACGTGCTTCTCTGTGGTCCATTTATGGAACTGCAGGCAGCACGTTCTGTCTGATGTCAGACTTGGGCTTCACCCTGAAGGGCTTCTCAGAATTTTTCTTTCCACTGCTGTAGATGAGAGCAGTGGGACTGAAGGGCTGCAGTGTTTCCTCCTGATGACTTTCTAGATAATTGAAGCGCACCGCTGGAAAGAGCTCAGTTGAACCAAAGGTGCTGTTGGACTACTATTTGTTGCTGTTATTACTGTTGTTGTTGGGTTGGGTTTTTTTTTTCCAGCTTTTTTATTTTCCATATAATTTTATTTATCTGTACTGATAGGCAGGTGCATATAGGATTGACTTTTTGAAGATGAAATGTTGCTGTGGGCGACACACAGCTGACTGGAGGCTTTGGGTGAATCGCATGCTTTAATGACAGACTGAAATGCACAGAGAACAAGGCTGACCTCTTACCTCTGTATCTGATAGCGAATCCCTGGGCTTGGTTGATTTCATCTGAAAAAAAGTACAAAATAACAAAATCCAAGGAGATGTTGAAGGTGTGCGGAGGCCGATTCTTCCCATTAAAACGAGCCAGAACATGGTAGGTATAGCCATCCAGCAATTCCACCATGTCTGTAGCATCTTTGATTTCAAAAAGGACAAAGCTGAAGAGGATTTGAGATGCTCCTGGGACTTGTATGGTCCAGTAACAGACTTTGCCTGTGCCATAAGTGTCAGGAAAATCTGGGGAATAGATCACAGCTGTAGCAGAAGTGTAATTCCCTCCACAGGCACCAATAAGGGCTGTGAAACAAAGAGGAGAGGGAAAAGAAATTAAAAAAGAGAAACCAGTGCAGGCAATACATCCATCACACACAGCTTTCCACTCTGGTGGGCCTTATGCATTAGGGCATTGCTCCTCCAGTGTCTCTCAGCCTCAGGTTATTTCCTTCCACAACACTGGGAGCAATGTATTACATGGCTTTTGGGATACGTTCCTTCTGGCCCCTTGCTCTGACACACAATTACTGCCACAAGAAGAGTTTGGCTTTGTCTCTACACCCTCACATCAGGTATTTATCCACATTAGTAACCCAACCCCAAGCCTTCTCTTCTCAGAGCAAAATAATGTCCTCACGTGAATGATGCTCTAGTTCATTAATAATCTCTGTGAACATTTCTTGTGCCTTCTTAACATCCTTTCTCCTTATCTCCAATTACTGATCAACCTTACTGAAGTAACTTGAATAAGTGCCTGTTATGAAGTCTAATTAATGCAAATCTATGAGATTACTTGCTATGACCCGATCCTTTAAGTTCAGTACCAATACGTGCCCAGTGACACTTTACATTCCTTAATGGTTGTTCAGGGTCATAGTGCAGACCTATTCAATGAATCTAGAGAGGAAGTTTAATGCCAGTCAACTGACTTGATACATACATATATATATATATATACACACATATATATGTCCTTGGAGGCACTCATGGTCAGGGGTCAGGGCTGTGAGCACTGATGGAGCTGTGAGTGTCCCTGTGCACTGCAGGCAATGGGCCCAGATGGCCTTTATAGGTCCCTTCCAACACAAATGATGCATGTATTTATATATATATATATCTCTTGAACATTCAATGGGAAATAGTATATTTCAGACAGAACTATTTGAATCAAAATGATCACTCCCCCATAGAGGTCTTCTCTCTGAAAGCTTAAAGCACTGTAATAGAGTCCGTGGAGAAAGTAAATACACATTTTGAAGTGTTTCAGTTTTCACAGGGCTCTGAGCAAGGCCTCTAATAAATGCAAATTAAAAGCGAGCTGGGGAAATGAGAAAAAGTAGAGCACGTCTGCCAGAAAATAAAGTGAAAACACTCCTCTTTTTTTTTCTGGAGCACGGCCTCGTCATAGCAGCAAACCTCACACCAGTGCTGCACTATAAAAGACCCCACAGAGGGACTGAAAGTGCATGGAAGAAGGAGAATTTAAAGAATGTGAAAGATCCCACCGAGGTACAAAGGCCCACAGAGAATCTGTGTTTGGCACTCACTCCGTGCTAACAGCTGGTGATGTAGTTGAGTAGATTGAATTGTTTGAATAGACTGTATTGCTAGAATTGAAGTTGGACGGTGGGGTGTCGTTTGCTCTTTGCAAATGGCCTGTAGGTGTTGCCACAGTTGGCTGGGCTGTTTGTAACAACTGAAACGCAAGGTGCTCTTCAAGTAGGTAATATTAATTATGAATGCTAATGGTTAGTGCTCTACGAAGTATAGCAGCTCCCCGTATGGAATGGAAATGGAATAAGAGAATCAGAATAGCTTTTTTAGGTTGGAAGGGATCTTAAAGCTCACCCAGCCCCAACCCTTGCTGTGGGCTGGCTGCCCCACACCAGCTCAGGTTGCTCAGGGCTCCAACCAACCTGAGATGCCTCCAGGGATGGGGCACCACAGCAGTCTGGGCAGCCTTCCCATCCCAGTTCTATGCAGAACTGGGAGAGTTCTGTGCTGTGGGTCTGAATGTTACAGCTTTAGGCCATGACAGCAGCACATAAACACATAGGTAAATGTTACAGATGGGTGAAAAAAAAAAAAAGTTTAGTTTAAAGACACAGAACTCTTCAATGCCTGCCACTGCATCTTTACTGTCCCCATCTCTTCTCCATTCTGAGGCCCACAGGACTCTGCAGGTGGGGAAGAGACAGAAAAAGGATAAGACAGTGTTGCGTGTACAAAGGACTTGGAAATGATGAGCTCAGGAAGCCAGCAGGTAGCAGGAGTGATGGTTCTGGGGGTACAACACAATCTGTAGATTAGAAGTCAGTGACCTTGGGGAAGGGGAATGAGACGAGCAGGTGTTGCTAATCAGCAAAACCAAACAGGTGGTGGGTACTAAAATGACTTCTTTTTTCTGCTCACCAGAAAAGACAGTGCAGGTGCTCGGGGTAACAGCTGGCTGAGCCCTCGGTCATTTCAAAGCAGAAATGCCACAAAGGATGCTTCTACTCATCGTGAATTCAGGAGGCCAAGAGCAGAAGGAATCAGTGGATATAACAGTATGAGCCTGCATGCTAGTGCAATATGGAAAGCAGTATAAAGTTCCATTGGGGGAGAATTTGAAAAAATATAGTATATATTAGTGTATATATAGTATAGTATCTATATTATATGTAGTATAGTATCTATACTATATATAGTGTATACTATATATACATATATATAGTATATAGTATATAGTATCGTAGAATCAAGGAACAACTTGAGTTGGTAGAGATCCCCAGTGGCCATCAAGTAGTAGGAAGGAAGATTTCCATGTATAAGAAATTATGAAATCAGTGATGATCAAATAGCAAACTTGACTTGTTTGTACCTTTGCTGTACACCCTTCCCCAGCACAGTTCTTTTCTGTTGCTTTGCATTGTGTGACTGACTAATAAGGAAAAACAGAGTGTTTGTGAGAGCAGAGTTAGCACCAGCTCTGGAGAAGTAAGAGACAATCTCTGCAGGCATTGCTTCTTTGAAGAGCTATTTCACATTATTAACGGATGGGAATTTTAAGCTGAAATGGAAAGCAGCTTTATTTTATACCGAATTTAGGTGTTTTTCTGCTCAACAGTTCTCATTGCCTTTAAGCCCTTTCCCCTAATTTGCTCAGCATTTGAGGCCTCTCCTTTGAGAAAAGCTCAGCCTGTTTCAATACTTACTGTCGAAAAGAATGACTCTGCCATCCCCACCACAAGGCTGAGTATGGTCTCCAAAGCAAACACTGTTGCATTCCGTACTGGCTGCCTCCCCGTATCTCCAGTAGTCAGGGTTATTTCCACAGAAACAGGCATAACCTGATTCCATGCCTGCAAACTTTGACAACAAAGATGCATAAGGAAGGGAGGGGTCATGTTTAAAGGTGTAACAGCAGGAGGTTGTGGGAACGAGCAAGCTGGCAGCAGAATGCATGTGCTTTGGAGAAGCTTGATTGGTCTGTGGTCAGAGGTCCCACCACAGACTGAGCTGTTAGGATCCTGCTTAAAACCAGCAAGAAAGCTGGAATAGAGGGCACCTGGAGCACCTAGAGCAGCATCTATGCAGCCCGAGGCAACTCCTCTTCACTCAGTGCAGCCCAAGCATGCCAAAAGGTTGGACGCCCATGGTTTAGTCTCTTAAAACATTTTGTAAATGTATGTCAAAGAAATCACCTTAAATTGTTGACTTCGGCAGGAACTGATGCATGCCTGGATAGTAAGTTTATTGGAGGTCTCACTGGTGCCAGTCAAAGTAGGTGGCTCTCCATGATCCTTGTAACAGCCCAGATTCCCTGGCACTGGCAAGAATAACAGACAACAGTCATAGAAACGTTAAGGTTGGAAAAGGCATCTGTGATCATCATGCCCAACTCCAACCCAGCCCACCATGCCCATCAGCCATGGCACCCAGTGCCACCCCTCCACATTCACTGAACACCTGCAGGGATGGTGACCGCACCACCTCCCTGGGCAGCCCGTGCCACTGCCTGACCTCTCTTCTAGACACCATCCACTATAACTACTCCCCTGTTACTAAGCAGCTCTCTGTATTCTCCTGTATTGGTTTTACACCATGAGAAATATTACTCCATGTCATGTTTTCCAAACTTTCCCAGGAATAAATGACAGGAGATGAAACAGCATCACAGCAATATATACCTGCAATACTCTGCAGCCATCTGTTCCCACTGCCTGCAGTGCACAGGGACACCCACAGCTCCAGCAGTGCTCACAGCCCCGTCCCTGAGCGTAGCTGTGTGCAGGGATGGGGCAGCACCACCTCTCTGGGCACCCCGTGCAGTGCCTCACCACACTTAGTGTAACATCTTCTTCTTTATATCCAGTCTAACTCTCTCCTTTTTTAATTTGAAACCATTTCCCCTTGTCCTACCAATGTTCCAAGGCTCACTGATCACTATGGGTGGTCATAAAGAGAGATTTTTCTCTTCAGTGCATAACTTGTTTTGTTTTCTTTCTGTGCTTTTCATCTAATCACTGGAATTTAGCCATGACTTCTAGAGAAACAGTGTGGAGTGCTTCTGTGCAAAGGGCATAAAATTATCCCTTGTCTAACTGTCTGCTCACACACTCAGAATGAAATAGAAATAGAAAAGAATTATAGAAATAGAAATAAATTGAATAATTCAGTCGGTAGGAACATCCAGAAATCATCATAGTTTTGGTTTACATTTTGCTTTGTTTCCTTTTGTTTTAGCAAACTGAGTGCCTCAGTATTTCTGTCCTTCCATATGCATTCAATAGGAGTGCAATGATATTTTCTCAGCTGAGCCATCTCGTAACAGCAGCCCTGAAAGCAGTTCTGCTTTGGGTTTGGGAAGTCCTGCTGGTGAATTTCCTTACACCTCCCCACGTGTGCAATGAAACAGTTCCCTAAATTCACAACTTCTGTTTGTCCCACTCTAACAAAGATGATCTTTTACCCATTCTTTTGGAATAGCTCTCAGTGATCTGCAATTGAGGATGACTACAGTACTAGAAAGAAGAGCAAAGGAAAGAACAAAGTTGGGAAGAATCAAATTCAAGTATGTGTTGGGTTTTTTTTTTAATTCTTAGATCATGTTACTTCAAATATTGTTGATAAAATAATTTTCTTTCCTAAGAATGATACACTTTCAACACTAAATGTTTGCATGGATTTATGGCTTGGATATGCCTTGCAGCAGCAAGCTTCTAAGTACAGCGAATTCAAGTTACAGCCTGATTTAACATACCTTTGGAAATTCCCATTTACAACCCCACCCAGCTGGGTACATCTGGACAGATAATTCTCAGAGAGCTCAGTTTTCTGTAAAGCACATTATTTCACTGCCCAGAAAACAATTCCTAGCCACCAGTCTAGCTCCTTTTCCTAGAGGACCTGGGATTTCTAAAACCATATATTAATATATATATCTACTTAATAGCTTTATTGGTGAGACCCATCAGCCATGTCTCCAGAAGATTAGTCCTTCAGTGTTTCCCATGCAAAGAAACCAGACTCAACCTTTGAAAACTTTGTGCATTCTGTAACTAAATAAAGCACAGCAGCTGGGTAAAATCCTAAAGCCAATTAGTCTCCTTAGTGTCCCAGTGAGCTTTCAGCTTACTCACATCTAGCAAACAAAATCCTCCACGTGGTTTGGAATAAGCAGTTGTTCATGGAGAATCACCAGTCTGGCCCAATTCTGAGCAGCAATTTCCAAGCAAATATTTTTTGATATTAAATCAACAAAGTACAGAACCTCGTGGCTACGTGCTCCACAGAGAGCTAGGAGTACTTGAGTAGGTCCACATCCAATGATTAAATGACCTGAGACAACACAGGAAATACTGACTGCCGTACACGTATACATGATTTTGCTGTATCCCTTCTCCCTCTGGCTACTGATGAGCTGATCCTAAACCTGAGACACTGCTGTGTTGCTGGTGGAAGTTAATCAGCAGAGATGGTACAAATGTAATGGTGTTATCTGACTCTGCTTTGGGCAGCAGGTTGGATCCGATGATGTCCCAAGGACTCTTCCAACCCAGGGTACCCCACAGTCCTGTGTGTATGTATTATATATTTATATGGATAATAAAAATATTTCTTTGACTGATTAATTCCTCTGACCTTCAAAAACTGCTTTTTTTTTTCCCCTTGTATTTGTTTATACCCACACCAGCACACAAGACATTGAGAAAAGGAGAAGGAGGAAAGGAAAGAGCCCTTAGTGGGACACTACCCATTGGCACCACCCTGCTGGGACCACCACCATCCTTTGCACGATGGCAGCCATTCTCATCTACCACTGCTAAAATTCAGCGTGTTTACAAGAGCAGAATGTGTTTCTGAATGAAGCATTCTATGTTAAGTACATGTGAATAAGGCACGATAAAATCACAGACGCTTAATTGTAGCTGCAGTGAATCACTGTATGCAAATCTCTCCAGGGAACAGAGAAGTTTCATGTTGTTGGTGTTACACTGGCGTATGTATTGTTTGTAGCTAAGTTATACATGTTTTTTCTAATAGCAGACATAATTATGGAAACGTTGCTTACAGGACACAAATTTTTAACTCCCCAAAACATTGCAATGAGTGTTCTTTACAAAATTGCTTTCTTACTCCACCACAAAACTCAGTTTAGCATGAGGCAATTCACAGGTTTGTTAGTTTTGATGGGGCTGAGGTTTATCACTGTGCTTACTGAAAACAGACATACAGTAAGGAATAAGTTTTTTTTTTAAATTACACAACGTCATAAACCATGAAGTTTGCATTAAGGCTTGGATGGACTTGCAGCGTACGTTTTGTTGCTATAATTCCTTTTTCTAGTATCCAATTTCAGCGCAATGCTCGAAGCAGCTGCTACTGGTCAAAAGGGTATTTTGTAAATATAAATCTGGATTATCTGTGCAAGTAAGCGTCCAAATATAAATCCTCATCCCCCCATCACAGAGAAAGTGAGTGAGATTTGTTTTACAAGGATTCTTTGCATAGGACAAATGGAGAGAATTTGCCTTGCTGGTGACATATCCAGAGACTTCACTTGAAATCTGTCATCTTTAAAGAAAATGCAAACTCTTTAATTTGGGACCCAGACAAATTTATTAATTATGGGGGGGCCTTCTGAAAGGTCCTCCCTTAAATCAGAAGTATGCTGACATCGGGACAACTGCTCTGATATTTAACAATGTATGCAGAGGCAATCTCTTGGACATAGAGAGTACTTGCACAGAAGTTAGGAGAAAAATATATCAGTGATCAGACCTAATAAAATGTTCAGTTATGCGTGTTAATATTGAGTCATATGTTTAAAATGTGATTCTTCAGAATTTATCCTGGAGCATCCAGGAATGAAAATTTGGGAACGTATTGACACCAAGCATGAAAGAAGAAACGCATTTTGGATAAGGTAAGCAGTATCATACACTGGTTATATCAGATGCTGGAAGGAATGTTCAGATGAATAACTTGAGAGCGATCTGAATTATTCATCTTTTCCCTGTGTCCACTTCTACTGCCCCTATTTCTTCCTAGCAGTTCCATAGGTGTGTGCTACTCACATCAAGCTAGCGCTACCCATTTAACAAATGAACTGCAAGTGATGGAGACATACACATCTTTTTGAAAACCTAATTAATCATTTCCTATCCGTTTTTCTCCTCTAGACTGTACTAAACTAACAGTGTATTTCATCAGATTAAAAAAAACTAGAAGTACTCCATATGTTTTGAGTGCTTCCCCATCTTCTATTTTAATGTAAATAACGTAAGCCAGTAATTCTGAGAGATGAAGAGAGCAGCAATGGAGGAAACAACTACACAGCAACCTTGTCATTAACTCCAGAGATCCGTTTCAAATATTGCTTAGTTTGCAAATGAAAATAAGCTGATTGGCCTTGTCCTAGTTTCAGTTGGAAAATCACTACCCACTGCTGTATTACTGCCAACCTCCGCTCAGCAGAGACGCAGGCCTGAACTAATTACATGGTTCTCTTACTTCGGCAGGATGGAATCTCACAATATTTCCAATATATTCCATCCTCGTGCTCTGCAATGTAGCACCATGGGCTGACATCTCCATCAGGGTTCCTGGGGGAAAAAAAAGAAGAGAGAGCGAGGGAGTGAAAAATCAGTGATCTTTAAATACCACGTAAAAATAAATCTTACTGAACCTGAGTTTCACACTATTTTTGTTCTAACATTTAACCCATTGCAATTACATGCCAAGAAAACAACAGAAGTGGGCAGGATGTTCAAATCACTGTAGTTATAACACACCAGAAGCTTGCTGTGATGCCTCAAACATAACTTCTCTATTATTCTACAAATGGTTCTTGTGTGCTGAGCCAAAGACTCAGGGTTTTGATCGCAGGATAAAACAGGACCTGTAGATACTCATGGTTCTGACATGCTTCTGATTTGTGCCAAGTGCTTAAAGCTGCATCGAGGCAACGTTGGTAGCAATGAGATGGTCCTTACCTGCAGTAGTTGTGCTCACCGAGCCCTCCTTCCCCATTGGGATATTTCAAAGTATTGTAAGGGTGCTCAAAGGTCTCATTCCAAAAGAGACAAGGCTTCCCTGCGTGCTGGGAGGTCTGGTTCTGAGTGCCACGGTAATCAGCCCCATTTGCTGTATAACATTCTGGGAAGAAATGGAAATGGAAAGAGAGAGAATATATGTAGATTTGGTGTTTACTTGTTCTTCCCTTGCCCTCTCTCCCATCCCCAAGACTCCAGTTTCCTCTCACTAACAGATTTCCTCCACTGTATAGTCAACTGAGGATGCTGTTTGCACTCTAAATTTTCTCATAGGGCCAAACTCCTATTAATGGGGTTATGATTTCACTACTTAAAGAGGGGAGATTTAAACAGGATATAAGGAAGAAGTTTTGACACTGAGGATAATGAGGCACTGCACAGGGTGCCCAGAGAGGTGGTGCTGCCCCATCCCTGCACACAGCCATGACCAGGGCATGGGGCTGTGAGCACTGCTGGAG